GGTTGTCAGTGAAGGCTGGATTTCACACCTAAAGGAAGGGTTGCCTGTGATGTAGGTGATCTTAGGCTTTTTGAAAGACCACGGGGCACCCCCTCCACCGCATCCCATGAGGAAACAGGGAAATGAGGGAGACTGGGAACCTGACGCTTATGCAAGGCTTATTTTGTCTCCATAGCCCCATAGCGAGGCTTTCTTCTCTGGGTAACATATTGCCAACTCACCTCCATGATTGGAATGTTGCTATCAGGAAGAACCACATTAAAATATTTGTGTGGAATATTTTGAGAGCATCAAATAGATCAGACAGAAGAGATCTTTGAAAAAGAAATGAGAAAAAAAAGGGGATTCACCATTCCTTGGTAGTTTGCAAAAGCTCGCTTTTTTAAAAGTGCAATTTTGATGGCTGTATCCATGTTGGTTCATGTCTAGCTAGAGTAACAGGGGAGGATAGAAGGAGTCAAGAAGCAGACAGGGTTATAAAGTCGGCTGAGATTAGTAAAGCATTAAATCTAAGCAATCATTTCTTTATTCTCCAAAGTATCAGTGCCTCAAGAAGACATGTATAGCAAGTAAAGTTGGTTTGAAAACTATAAGGCCTACAGTAGGCTTTTGTAAGAAATGGTTGTTCATATAGTGCCCTACAGAAACACTCATGTGCAATCTGAGGACTTGAGCTGAGCAAGAAAGGGAAAAGGGATGCTTAGCCTGAAAATACCACAGGTTGCCTTTCTAAGGCAAGACCCACTGAATAGAGCATGCCTCATGGAGCAGAGATGGAATCCCCTATGAGATTATGGAGGAAAATGGATAGAAAATCATGAACTTTCTACTTCATTGTTTTTGTAAGAAAAAGAGGATGCTATACGGGTTGATGCTGGGGCAATTCTTCTTGGTTACTTTCAAGCTTTTTGCCTAGGTTTTACAGAGTCACATTAGGAAGAGGTTGTCACAGCCAGAAGACAGAAAGATGGGAAGACAATTTCTAGATCTGATGCAACAGTGGGTGGAAAGGAAAGTTTTAAGTTTTAATTCAAAGAGAATAGGAAAGAGGAGGGGAACTGATATTCCATCTGAGCCTTCTGAGTCTTACAAGGGACCCTTTTCACGTACCTCAATTAGGTACAAAGGAGTGGGGGCGGGGTAAAGTGCCAAAACTTGGGCTCATCAGTCACTTCATGCATCTGAGCTGGAAAACATTTAGCTCTGAGATGCAAATCATTTAATCACACTGACTCACTGAGGACCAAAAGCTGTGAACACTTGGGAGCCAGGAATTCCCAACCTGATGTGGTAATACATTTCACAGCATGAACTTCAGATCTCCAACCCAGGCTGGGGAACAAGAAAAGGCAGAGACCTGATAGTCTTCTAGTTTCTGCATAACAAAGATAGACCTTCCCTTTCAAACACGCTGAAAATGAGGGATCCCAAAGGGGAACTCTCACTTCCACCCCCACCTCCCCACACATACCTTTTTACCGTAACTGTTTGCTCCATTAGGTCAGGAGGTTAATGAAAATGCACTCTAAAATTATAAAGAAGATTAATCCAGGCACAAAGATTGGATTTCCATAAGTATAAATATGCAATCTGGACCTGAAGAAAACCACAGTTGCTTCAAAATCATATAGTTCTGTCCATACTTGTTTGGATAAGTCTGAGATGTTTGAAGAAGTGGATAACTGCTCTTTCCCTACCATAGAAATGAGACTGAAAATGTAGATCAATCCCTGCTTAGTAGTGTTGTTAAGTTCTCTGTGTAGTCAAAGAATAAAGGTCAGGATAATATTACATTGGGGACCAAACAGGAGTTAGGATTTGCATTTTTCATCTTCTATTAAGTATTTTTTTCTGCCTTTCCTTTCTTTCTTCTATCCACTTATTATTTGATTTTACTTTCCTACTCTTTTATAGATTATTCTTATTTTTAGGGATGAACCTATAAATACATAGTATTTCTTTTCCAGTCCATTGAAACTATCTACTAATTTCCTAAGGGATTCAATCACCATTGAAAGAAATAGCCGCCAAACAGTGCTACTCTTAGAAAGTTGCTTCTATGGCCACTATTATAAAATGATCCTTTGAAGTATGACACTTTAACATCTCAAACCTGTTCACTTATTCTGAAGGAACAGCTTCCTGAAAGTGAACTGATGCTGAGGATAAACCAAATGGAAGATACTTGCTTATTTTTCTGTTAAGATTTTTCAAAATGGCTTGAAAAAATGTGAATTAATGTATTTTGACCACAAAGCAGCAAAACTTATTTTGAATATTTAAACAGGCAACACAAATGTAAACAGAAGCCTGGGACTCCCAGGCTAATGCTGAAAGGAGTCAGTCAGAAAACATCAGTTCTACTCAGCATTTATTTTCATTTGATGATAGTGGGAATCTTATATAAATCAAAGACAATAACAAGTTCTTCTTGTTTGGCAAATGTCCACGTGAAACTGTTAATCCTTAATATAGATACAGTATTTTTAATAGAAAGACAGGGCAATATGGCAGTTAATAGCAACCGATACTGTAAACTACAGTAGATACAAAGTTTTATATAAATTAATTGCCATTTTAAAAAGGCAACTGCTGTAGCTAAGAAGGTACAAAAACTGGTAACTTCCATAAATATAACAAGAAGCTAATTAAAGAAATACACAACAGACTGTTTTCCCTATATAATATTTGAATATGCAAACTAAGACACCTGTGGCACTTTACTGGAAAGTAGGAAAGTAGGAATAGGACATACACCCCCACCTCCCGGCCCCCACCCACCCGACCAGGCCCCACCCCTCCCCCACATGGATTTCCAAAACACGGCAAATTCTAGGGTTACAAGGACAGGATGCTGCTCTGAAAGCAGCAAGACAGCGAGCTCCGACCTGCTAGACAAAGAATGAGCCTTATTGACAGTTGTAAAGCATTAGGCGTCAGACAGAAACTTGTCAAAAACAGCTGTTGTTGGGTACTGATTGATAATGTTTTCATTCTGACGGCTGAGACGCTGCAGACAGTCGTGGGTCTGAGGAGAAGCCCATCACTGGCGCGCACGTGAACACACACAGACAACGGGAAGTCATTTAACAGATGGCTTGGGCACACTCAGCCACAGTATCTTAGAAAGACAACATTCTACATTTAATGAACTCGCAGGGAAAGCAAGGTCTAATAATCACTTATTGTTTCATAGAAGATGAGCACAATAGGACAAAATAAAAACAGGAATTGTACAACTGATCATTGGAATACAAGTTCTGTGCTGCTCACGGATTATTACACAGTGTTAGAAATATTCAAGGATATTGCAGACAAAATTGTATATACTATGGATCTTTTGGGATCTATGACAATAGAAGGGGAGTGTAAAGAAATGTTGGATGTTTCAACGGTGATCATGTCATTAAAATCCATTTATAAATTTAAATCACAAAATTACCTTTGAATGATGTGAAGGGTCTGAAGTATATCAGCTGGGGAAAATTACCAGGTTTTATGTCATCTTTTAATACAGTAGGAGTCTGTGGTATTTGGGTATCCGTCTACACTACTTAAAAATTACAAGTATGTTTTTACTGCTCAGGTGAAGAGAGCAGTTTTCTATCATTTGGCCACTTAGTATTTTAATAAGTGGTCAAAAGTCTACAAAATGTGCCAAAGAATATTTGGGGGTTTTTGTTGGTTTTTTTTGTTTTGGTGCTGGGGATTGAACTTGGGTCCTTGAGCTTGCGCAGCAGGCGGTGAAACCACTGAGCTAAATCCCCGGCCCAAGAATATTTTACCTATGAACCTCAATATCCATAGATTATTCCTGATTTAGAAAAGGTCAAAGGCATTAAACCTTATTAAAACTACATTTATCTCTATGCAATTTTATCATTTAAATAATATGGAAAAAATTAGTTCCAATGACTGAATCCAGGCCCTCAAATTATTTATCTGCTACAGCCCCAGCATATTTTTAAGGGCACATCGAAACCCCTGAAAATAGAGGTTTATAATAGAAATACTGATAGACCTTTAACTACTAGATGGAGGCTTTAACAGACTCCATTAAACTACATTAGCACTTAATGAATAAATATACAGATGATTTTGTCTTTGATATCTTTGTCAAATCCATTCCAGCTTAAACCCAAATGAGTTTAAAATATACTTTGCTTAGCTGTTTTAAAATTTTAATCTATTATTTTAAAAATTATTTTCTGTATTTCTAACACTTTTGAATTTTAGAAAAATGGTATGTGTACTATGTTGCAGCTTGATTTAATGCAGGCTAATTATTCCATTAAAAATATTTAAGGACACAATTAAATGTAATTAGTGATGCATGCATTGTGCCTAAATTTTCTCCAACTCCTCAAAATCTAAATCAGTGTCTTTGCTCTTAAAAGAGGGAAGAAAGTGAGACCTCAGATATAATCAAGGAAACATTGTTCATCTGGTCTTTAAGTTCTTCAAAGCTAAATTTACTATGGCAGGATATTCTTTTATGGTACAATGATAAATGAAAAATTTTGGTACTCATTTTTCACTTATACTATATAAAGTCAGTATATTAAAAAAGTAAATAAGAGTTAAAAAAGAAACAGACCCAAAGAGATCTTGAAAAATGACATACATATGATGTGGAGTTCCAGTGACACAATACTCCATTCCCAAACCAGGGAAAATACATCAAGGTACTGAGTCTTTCTGAGTTCTTCATAAGGGATTTGTTTTCTGTGAGCCACGAATTCCATCCATTTTTGCACAAAGTATAAAAGAGATGCTCAGAACAACAGAAGGAAGAGACAGGCGGTGAAAATAATTAGTGGTAAACAGAGAATAAATCTCTCTCAGTAGCGTACTTGACATTAATGCTGATGATAATTCACCTGACTTACAGAATATTCACTTTAAGAGAGAAGAGAGCCTGAAATAACTAACAGAAAATAGAGAGTGGAGTCATGATAATCCTGATAACAACATAAAATTAAAACAAGAAACTAACATGATAGGTTCAAGGCCTTTTATGAACTCGCTTTTTTCTGCTGGATTCACATTCTCATAGCTTCATGGTCTTTTTCTTCCAGCAAACTTATCAGCTGAGAGAAGCTGTCTTTCAGCACATCCATGTCATCCAGTGAGCAGGGCTGCAGAATCCAGCGTTTTCCTCGCGCAAGTGGTTCAAGTTCAAAATATTTTTTGATCTTGAAGAAAAAAAAGACAGGTATGTTATTAATTATATTAGAAGATTTCTCAGACCAAAATTGTGAGTGATGAAGTAGGGGGATTTCAGGGAGAATTTATATGAATTATCATGTCTGGGGTTTTCTAGAATTCTATCCGTAACTGCTGTTTTAATGGGGGTTATATGCTGTGACCTGAGAGTGTTTTCTTTAGGGTGATCTGCTTGCAAGATGCCATCCACCTACCCCTCAACAGCACGGGAGGCTGATGAAGTCTCAGAAGAGTTATATGGACTCTGTCACATGTCATGGTATACCGCAGACACTTTAAAGTTTCAACTGTGTGTGTGTGTGTGTGCGTGCGTGCACACGCATGTGTATTAAGGATTAAATCCAGGGCCTTTGAATTGAGCTATTTTTAAAATTTTCTTTTTATTTTGAGTCTAAGTTTTATTAAGTCATTAAGTTTTAGAGACTGGCCTTGAACTTATTTGCTTCAGGCTCCCAGAGTGCTGGGATTACAGGAGTGCACCAATGTGCCTGGCAAAGTTTCTATATAATGAAAACAATGCTAGCAAAATACCTTTTTACCACCCCAGACTGATAAATTATTAAATTGGTGAAAAGACCAGGTGTGGTGGTGCACGCCTGTAATCCTAGCACTTACTTGGGAGGCTGAGGCAGGATGATCCCTGTGAGTTTGAGGCCAGCCTGGGTTATATAGTGAGTTCAAGGATGCCCTGAACTACACAGCGAGACACTATCTTAAAAAAAAGAAAAGAAAAGAAAAAAGAAAAATAAATTGGTGATAACTTATAGCATGTACTATATCAATTAATCAAGACAACTATTTTGACCAGTAAGCACATAAGCAAAAAAGTCTAATCTAAATCACATTTCTCTCTATTTTAAATTTGTAGTGTCCACTTCTGAGCCCTAGAAAAGTATTTTCTAGGAAACAGGATAGAAACTGAGTAAGTGTACACATGTGCATGTAAGTATACACATATACAAACTTACATAAATTTATACACACAATAGTCTGGCAGCTTTTTTTCCTTCCAGTCCTGATTTTCTGGAAGGAAAAAATCAAGACCTTACAACAGGCTATGTGGGGTGTCATATTTGATATCCTAAAAACACATTCAATGAATAACCAGTCACAAGTCACTCCTGTTGTACTGACTGTGACACTAAGAGGATATAGTATTATCAGCTTCTTACTGTGACTCAGTATCAAATTGTTCAGACTTCCAGAAGGATTGGTGATATTCTCTCAAAGGATATAATAAAGTCCAAACCTCATAAAGCCCCTCATTCAGACATACTAAATCACACAAGAATAGAACTTTGTATTTATGGCCCAGCAAAGTTTTACAGAACATAAAATGTACTCTGTAGCAACAGCCGAAGAGGCATTGTTCAAAGACATTCTTGGCCAACAAATTCCACTTGTTGGTCCAACAAATCCCAGGTGCCATAGAAAATTCCAGGGTCTTACTTCAGTCAAGATCCCCCCAAAAAAGGGCCTCAACCTTATGCTATCCCCAAATATGGTTTCATTTTGCCTGTACTATTGTAAGCACTTAACAGCGCAGTTACCATCCAAACTGATATTAATGTATGTGTCCATCTTTCATATGAGCAAAAAGATAGATGTGCATATATATGAAATACTGTTTTTATGCTCATTTAGAAATCATAAAAACATTTACATTTTATAGTTTAAGTGTGCCCAAAAGCTCTCTTACAGTCTGCAAATTCACAATAAATACAAATTTTAAACAAAAGGAGCCCGTGAGAATTGAAGGACCCTCATTACTTCTGATTCTGAAGATTAATGAGAATTTTATTTATGGATAAGAAAATAGGTCTACATCCTCAAAACATTTTATTTTTACCCAATATATTTCACAAATCATGTTAAGAAAATTATTTTATTAAAAATACAAACTCCATTTATTTATTTTCTTCAGGGCCCTGAAAACAATTTACTTCCAAACAAATCTGAAATTGCTTGGTGATAACCAATGCTAGACATAAGCCCTGCCCCATGTAGGAAGAAACTACCAGTCAGATGACCAGGAAGCCCTTTGCCAGCAGGCCTGGAGAGTTGGAAGAAGAAACAGGGAGAGAACATAAATGAGAGATGCAGGTCTCCTTGTTTCTTCCACAAAGTGAAGCTTCAAAATGTACTACTGAGCATAGAAACTGAGACTGCTATGTTTATGATACATTGTATAGGTGTGCATGAGTGCACACACACAAGTGTGTGTACTATGAAAATTGAATTCAGGGCTTTTGCACTGACTTTTAGTATATGTGCTGCTGAAGTGAGCATTCCAACACTTTTTAATTTTTTACTTTGGTTCAAAGTTTTGTGAAATCTGTAACTTGCCCAGCTGGTCTCAAACTTGTCATCTTACCTCAGCCTTTCAGAGTGCTAGGATTACCAATGTGCATTCCCCACGCCTGGTTGCATTTTGGTATTTGATCCATACTGCTTCCCATCATATGAAGAACAGCATGTAATACCCAAAATTTGGTACAAAAAGGAAGTTGTACTTTTGCCACATTTTATAACTTCAATTCCAAGAGGAGAGCATTTTAATTACTGCTAATAACTGGGAAGGGTACCAATTGCAAGACATTCAGTAATGTTAAAACAAAGAAAAACACAAGCCTGTAAGTGTATCTCATTAACAATACTTTTTCTGAGTAGTTCATTTAAAAATTTCATAGAATTGATTGAGTACATTTACAGATTATATGAAACAATGTTGCATTTAAATTATCACAAAGCATATTAGTAATCTGTGATATTCTGCATAACTAGCCAGAAACAAAAAAGTGAGCATCTGCTACCCATTAGGTAAGTTTCTAAGCAACTAAATATATAGTCCATCATGAGATATACTTGGAAGAAAATAAAGATATCTATAGGTAGATATGTTCCAGAAATTGTTCCACTGTATCTTAAACAGGAGAGGCAATGGAAGCGGTGATAACATGGTGGTCGCTGGATAAAGGAGCCTAGTGGTGTTAAGCTGACAAATATGGCTTGGTAACTTGAGATTTTTCAGATCTATAACCTAAATAGTACCTAAATGGTCATATTCACCCCACTAGTAGTCAAAGAATTCCATACAATTTATTATCAATTTAAAAACAAGATTTGGCATATTATGATATTCAAGAATAAAGTGACTGCTGCTGGAATATTGCTTTTCATTACTAAGTCTCATACAGTATTTCTAAATGCAGTACAAGAGAAGGGATGATGAAGACTTAATGCTGAATTTTTTTTCCCATTAAGTTTATTGGTACATTTTCAGTATAAAATACAGTTACAAACATCACTGGGATCTTGTACCATTACATGAATATCTTGGTTCTTTTATTTTTCCCGTTCTCCTGCCCACCCTTCCCTATTTGCAAAGACTTTGTTTCCATTTTTTTCCTTTTCTCATATTTTTTCTTTCCCCTACCTCTTCCACTTCCCCTGCACCTTTAGACTTTCTCTTCCTGTTACACAATATCAATTATACATTTTTTAAATTACAATATCAAGATCTAGAAGACATTACCACAGATTTTACAGAATTTAAAAGGATATAGAAAGCATATTTCAAAAATCTGTTTTG